GGAATTTAAAATAATGAACATAAAGAAAAAGAAGCAAAAATAATATAAAAATAGGAAGGGGGGGTGCCTGGGTGGCTCAGTTAGTTAAGCGTCGGACTTCAGGTCAGGTAATGATCTTGCAGTCTGTGTGCTGGAGCCCCGCGTCAGGCTCTGCGCTGACACACAGCTCAGAACCTGGAGCCTGCTTTGGATTCTGTCTCTCCCTCTCTCTCTGCCCCTCCCCCGCTCGCATTCTGTCTCTCAAAAATAAATATTTAAAAAAAAACACAGAAGGAGACAAAACATAAGAGACTTAAATACAGAGAACAAACTGAGGGTTGTTGGGGGGAGGATGGGGGGGAAGATGGGCTAAATGGACAAGGGGTATTAAGGAGGACACTTGCTGGGATGAGCAATGAGTATTTTACGTAGGAGACGAATCACTGGATTCTACTCCTGAAATCATTATTGCACTATATGCTAACTAACTTGGATGTAAATTAAAAAAGAAAAAAAAAGTCATTGTTTGGACCCAAGTCTTTGTTTTGAAAATTATTTTTGCCATTAACTTGATTATTCTCCATTTGCTTACTTTGCTTTTGCTGTTATTTGTCTAGATGCATAAAGTCTTCTTTCATATGTTTTTGTTTTGCCCTAGATTTCCTTGTCTCTGTTAAATGCATGAGGGTGTTCTATAAAGAATGCATGGAGGCATAAACCAGATAAAGCCTCCAAACTAAGCTAATCCACTTCAGAGACATCATACTTGAAGGTCCATTAATCCAGCAACCAATTTGTAAAAAAGCAAGTGGTCAAACGTTAGTTAGGAAGGCACTTCTTGTCTTGGCAATTTGTGAAAGAAGCTCACTGTGTTTATTTAGTTCAAATTCCAGGGTCAATGATAGTTGGATCACTGATCTCATGGCCCTTTCTATCTGTGCTTGGAACCTGAAATACGGTTCACAAACACACATCCTTAGACAACTTTAGTGCTTCTCTTTCTTGTTTGTCATTAAGTTTGCCTATGTCAAAGATCTCAAACTCTGCCTGGAAGAATTTCTCCTTCCAATATAAAGGTATACCATAGTTGTTCTGATTCTGGCACTTTCCTTGATAAATGTAAAAAAAATTTTGAGTTAAAATTACAATGTTGAAAGCGCACACAGAACATTCTCCAATGTGTATCATATGCTAGATCATAGAACAAACTTCAATAAATATAAAAGGATAGAAATACAATTCTGTTGTCTGGCCACAATAGAATGAAATTAGAAATCAAAAACAGAAGAAATTCAGAAAACTCACATATATTTGGAAATTAAACAACACACTCCCCTAAATAATCAATGGATCAAACAAGAAATCATAAAGGAAATTAGAAAATATTTTGAACTAGATATAAATGAAGACACAACATACCAAAATGTACGGGATACAGCTAAAGCATTACTTAGAGGGAAATTTATAGCTGTAAAAGCCTATATTAAAAAGAAAAAATATCCCAAATAAACTAACCTTCCACCTCAAGACACTGGAAAGAGAAGAGCAAACTACACCTTAAGTATGCAAAAGGACGGAAATAAGAGTGGGAATTAATGAAATAGAGAACATAAAATAAAGAAAATCAACAAAACCAAATATTGGTTTTCTGAAAAGGTCAACAACACTGACAAACTTTTAGGTAGACTACCTGTGAAAAAAAGGAGACTTGGATTTCTAAAACCTGGAATTCAAGAGGGGACATCACAACTGGCTCATAGAAATAAAAAGAATTGTAAGGGAACACTTTGAACAGCAATATGCTAACAAATTAGATCACCTAAATAAAATGAACAAACTCCTAGAAAGACACAAATTACCAAAACTGACCCAAAAATAAACAGAAAATCTGATAAATATCTAACATGCACAGAAATTGAATTAGTAATTTAAAAACTGCACACAAAGAAAAACCAAAGCCCAGATGGCTTCTCTGTTGACTTTCTACCAAGCATTCAAAAGAAAATGAATTCTAATCCTTCACAAACTCTTTCAAAAAACAGAGGAAGGGAATACTTCCCAACTCTTCCTATAAGGCCGGTATTACCGAGATATCAAAATCAGACAAAGGCCTCACAAGAAAAATACAGATATTGTTTAGGAATACAGACAAAAATCCTCAACGAAATACAAGCAAACCAAATCTAGCAACATATAGAAAAAATTATACACCATGAGCAAGTAAGATGTATCCCATGAATGCAAGGTTGATTTAATATCCAAAGATCAATTAAAAAAGGATTTTTTAAATAAAATTTATTTATTCTGAGCAAGAGAGCAAGCAGGGGAGAGGCAGAGAAAGGGGAAAGGAAGGAGGGGGAGGGGGAGAGAGAGAGAGAGAGAGAGAGAAGTCCAAGCAGGTTCTGCACTGTCAACACAGAGCCTGACGTGGGACTTGAACCCACGAACTGTGAGGTCATGACCTAAGCCGAAATCTAGAGTTGGACATTTAACCGACTGAGCCACCCAGGTGCCCTAAAAGCAGGATGTTTTTTAAAAAACGATCATCTCGGGGTGCCTGGGTGGCTCAGTCGGTTAAGCGTCTGACTTTGGCTCAGGTCATAATCTTGCAGTGAGTTCGAGCCCCACATCGGGCTCTGTGCTGACAGCGCAGAGCCTGGAGCCTGCTTCTGATTCTGTGTTTCCCTCTCTCTCTGTCCCCTCCCCTGCTCATGCTCTCTCTCTCTCTCTCTGTCAAAAATAAATAAACATTAAAAAAATTTTTTTTAAAAATGATCATCTCAATAGAAAAAGCAATTGACAAAACCCAAGAGCCTTTCATGATAAAAACACTTCATAAACTAGGAATAAAATGGAACTTCCTCAATCTGAAAGAGGGCTTCTAAAAAAGCTCACAGAGGGGTGCCTGGGTGGCTCAGTCGGTTAAGAGTCCAACTTCGGCTCAGGTCATGATCTCACAGTTTACGGGTTCGAGCCCCGCATCAGCTCGGAGCCTGGAGCCTGCTTTGGATTCTGTGTCTCCCTCTCTCTCTCTGCCCCTCCCCTGCTCACTCTCTCCCTCCCTCTCTCAGAATAAATGAACACTGAAGGAAAAAAAAAAACTCACAGATAACATACTTAATGGTGAAAGAGTAGAAAAGAAACTGACTGAGCACTACTTTCAAAATATATCCAGGGTGCACCTGGGTGGCTCAGTTGGTTAAGCTTCCGACTTTGGCTCCAGTCATGATCTCCCAGTTCATGGGTTCAAGCCCTGCATCGGGCTCTCCACTGGCAGTGTGGAGTCTGTTTGGAATTCTCTCTCTCTGTCTCTCTGTCTCTCTCTCTCCCCCCTCCCTCCCCCTCCCCGCCTCTCCCCCACTCACACTCTTGCTCTCAAAAATAAATAAACTTAAGTTTTAACACACACACACACACACACACACACACACACACACACACACACACA